ATCTTGCGGATCGACTCGTCGTTGGACGGGGAGGGCGCGGGGCTCCTGACAGCAAGTCGCCAAGCGACAAGTCTGTGTCGTTGGAGGAGGACTTTCCGTGCGCTTTTGATTGCACCTGCGCCTGCGTCCACACCGAGCCGGTCGAGGCAGCGGAAAAGTTCGTCAGCGGGGTGGCCGTCGCGGCGGCGAGGGTCGAGGAGCGGTTCGTCGAGGAGGCCGTGGACGACGACGAGGCGGACGTGCGCACGATCATGCCGGCGACGGGGACGCGCACCATGCAGCGGCGCAGGTTGTCGAAGGCGTGGCGGCCGAGCAGGCGCTGCAGGGAGTCGCTGGCGGGCTTGAGGCTGATGGCCGGGTCGGAGAGGAAGGTGCGCTCCTTGAGGCGGCGGACGGCCTTGCGCGTGCGGATGCCCATGTTGACCATGTCGAGGTCGAGCACGCTCAGCTCGATGTAGCCGCCGGGGCGGAGCACGCGCTTGCACTCGGCGACGAGGGCGTTCTGGGCGGCGTCGGAGGCGGCGGCGGGGAAGCGCAGCACGGCGACGGTGAAGTAGCCGCGTGGGAAGGGCAGCGCAGCGGCCAGGCTGGCGTTGTGGATGGTGTGGTGGTTGGGCGGGGGCAGCCAGGCGGCGGGGTGTTTGGGGCCGGTGGGCGCCGGGGCGTCGGTGAGGGCGTAGACGTGCGCGCTGGGGTACGTCAGCGCGCAGTAAAAGGACCAGTCGTCGTTGCCGAGACCGTCGATGACCAGGATGCGCTCCTGGTCGCCGCCGGCGGTGACGCGGTTGTGGGCTGGGCTGAAGAGCACACGGCCGAAGGAGAGCCAGCGGCTGGTCATCAGGGAGCCGGAGCGGATGTTGGTTTGGGCGGTCGGGCCTTCGCGGTCGCGCTCGGCGATGTCAAAGAGGATGGTGTTGCGTTGGCGGCAGGTTTCGAAGCTGGGGGATGGGTTTAGGGAGGGGGAGAGGAGGGTGGTTGTGGTTGTGGTTGTGGTTTGGGGCTCTGCGGTGGATGCGTTGGTTTGCGAGTCTTGGGCTGTGTCACGGTCGTAGCTGTCGCGATAGCTGGCGATGATGTCGCTGAAGGACGGCTGCGTGGATGGGGCAATGGATGAATGCAAAGCTGAGACGATTCGAGACCGGCGGAGGTGGATGGATCCGTTGCTGGAAGACGGTGATGCCGGGGTTAGAGCCACTGTAGGTTGCTCGACTGCTGCACCATTCAGCTCAGCTTGGAGGGCCCGACTCGCCATCGTGGCCATCTCGAACTTTTCATCTTCGGCCGCCTCCAGAGCAGGGCCCGTCTGCTCTGGAGACAGAACATGGTCGATCAGGTCATCGTATTCTCCCCACACTTCGTCTTCATTCAGGGCAGACCCAGGGCTCGGGATGACCGCAGTCACGGCAGTCATGTTCTCAGGTCCACTTGATGGTATAGACTCCTTCCCAGGCGAGAAGGTGAGGAACTCATTATTCGCATAAGATCCAGTAATCATGTCCAGGACGTTCCGATCCATGGGGTCACCGAACGGTTGGGTGAGGTCAAAACCGGGTCTTGTAGGTTGGCCTGGAGATACGCCAGTCATCGGATTGGTTGGAGAGAAATGCTGAGACGTTTGCTTCACTGGAGCTGGTATTGACGGCGATTCGGCAACACTGAACGGCCTAGAGAACGATTGAAACGCCGGAGTATGCTTCCTCTCCCGCCTGGATACAACTCGTGGGATCCTCCCAACGGGCGCCAGTCTTGTCGGACGCCCTTCACGCTCCTCGGTCTGGGCAGCCGGAGCAGGGGGCTCCCTGTTGAAGTAGACCTTTGGGGAAGACGGCTCGCCTCTCCATTCACCGTGGAGTTTAGGTGGCGAAGGACGCAGGATCGATTCGCCGCCTTTTCTTATATTGAGAGCAGCGGGAACGTCGACCGGGGAGCTCACGTCGTCCTCGATGTCAGTAGGCGGCGAGTCTTCCACATGGTGGATGATGTCTTCCAGAGGATCGGAATCGGCGTCCACGAGAGCGTAGTGTGCGACTTGACGGCGGACTGTAACAGGAGCCACAGTGGCCTGCAACTGAGGAGCAGGAGGGTCATCCACCTGTTCGTGCTCCCGGCTGGCATCCCTCTGAAAAAACGGCCACTTTAGGCCAAGTCCTTTTCTGGATGGCTTTTTCTGGTAAGACTTGGGCTGGGCTTGCTTCGCATTATGACGCTGGTCTCCCACCGGAACTAGAGACGGCTTCCTGCCCATAGAAACCTTTTGCTGTTCGGATAGCTTCCGGGGAGTAGAATATGAACCATCTGGACCCCCGCGTGCAAGCGGAGAGCCTGTAGGTGGAACGCCTCTTGCTATCTGGGTGTCTGGCGTTCGTTGACGAGTCTCTGCACTATCGCTCAACCCCGCCGTTGTTGCTAACGACTCGGTGGAATATCCAGTGGACTGGGTGATCGTGGGGTATAGGGTGAGATTGGACGTCGACTCGGTGCTCAACCCGCCTGAACTTTGCTCACTCTGTGTCCGCATCAACGTTGCCCCATCCATTCCCCCACCTTGGATCACAACTGGTTCAAGTCGGTGAAGCAGAAAATCGTCGAGCTCTGCATCTGGCCGGCCTCTCGCACTTCCCTTGCTACTGGCGACCGACTTAGACACGCTCCTCGTGGTGCTGGTGGATCGCCCCCTCGTAGTGCTGCCGCTGCTTCCAACGCTTGTCTTTCGCCCGCGATGTGCATACCGCCCATAGCCTTCGTGGCCTGTTCCTGCAGCCGGGCCCTTGCGAACAGGCCGTGTCTCCTCGGGGCTTTGGGTATGGAGATCCGGCTTGGATTTCTTGGTGAAGAAGCCGAACCGTCGAGTCTTTGTCGGGCTGAGCTGTTCGCGGGGTGTCTTGGGCTCCTTTGTCAGTGTTCGGGGGGATTTGCGAGCCAGCTCGGGTGACCCTTGCGTGCGGGATGGTATGTGCGAGGAGCTCTTTGAGTGTAATGAGTCGGCTGAGGCGGCTGCAGACCGATTGGATGCCAGGCTTGGTTTGTCCCCGAAAGAACTCCCCGCGGATCCACGGCGCTTATGGTGGGTTACCGTTCCTGGGGATAAGCTGCTCTTGACCACAGGGGACGGCTCCAGCTCCAATCGATGGGTTCCTTCTCGGCTGGGTCGCAGTGGGGGGAGTGCATGATCGCTAGGTCTGCGTGGGCTGGCTCCCGTGGACACTGGGGCCGAATGAGCCTTCAAGATTCCGCCAGTTGGTCGTTGAGCAACGTTTGTATTTATCCTCTTTGGGGGCCCGGGTTTTGTCGCTGCTGTGGGCTGCATATCCTTTGTGGCATTAGGAGCCCGGCTGCCAGCCTTTGCCGTTGGCTCTTCACCTTGTCCTTTGACGAGTGACGGGGTCGATCCAGTATCCAGTTTGTGGGTTTCGATGGTGTTTGCTCGCTCACTCTGCGGAGATTGCTGTACACGAGGTGAGAAAACCGGAAGTCTGCTCTGCGATGGGCTGGCCTGTCGCAAACGAGGTCCAGTCTTGACGGGCTGGACAATTCCTGGGGAATAGGATGACAACGAGGTTGGTGTTGACGTCCTACTCCATACACCCGGGGACTCGGAGTATCTCGTTGAGGGACTGCTGGCAGAATGGAAGATGGGCGTGGGAGGAGGCAAATTGTGGGTATTGACCGTTGTTCGGAGACTTGCGAGCTCTTTCGGTGCCTGAGGTGCCTGTCGCTCTGGTCGTCCACTGTCCATCGTACGCCGTTCCACCTCTGGGGAGACATTCTGCTTATATAACTCACTCACGCTCCGGACAGCCTGAGTAGATGCCATTGTAATCGGATTCGATGGGGGACTCGCTGGGATTATCACATTCAGCCTCTCCGGTCTGACCGGCTCTATCGGTTTGTTATTGGCAGTATGCTGTCCAATTGTCGGAGCTTTCCGTCGAAGAACGTTCCTTGGTTGAGCCCGGACGGGGACACGCTGCACGGCACCTCCAATGATCGGAGATGTCTCCGGATATGGGCTTTGCAGCACGTGGCGTTCGGAGGTGAAGGCAGGAATGGAAGAGACAGGCTGGGGATGCGTCGTCGCGCGTGGCGGCGAAGCATAGAGACCGTGGTGGAGTGGTGAAGGCGACGGACCGGACAGGACTGCAACAGGACGCCTCTCCTCGGCTTCGGACAGGGATGAAGCTCTGCTCGACCGGGTGGATGAATTGATTGGTCTCGCGATCTGGGACCTAGGTAATGACGGGGATGCAGCAGGACCGAGTGGCTTCGCTGATGCGTTCCTCATGGACGATGATGATACGTTTCGAGAATGGGATGCAACATCCCTGAACCGGGGTATTCGACCGCCATCAGACTTGTACGACGACATGGTGTTACCTGGCTCCAGGTGGTGAAAGTAGTCCGAGGACCAATGATACAGCGATGGCAAACAAACACGGAGGCAAAATCATTCCGTCTGGAAGAGCGTCGACGCGGGCCGTAAAACTGGACGGTCATTGTGGTGTCTTTGACAGAAGATGGACGAGTGTTTGACATACCACAGATCATGCCATGCATATGCCGGATATCAATAGACAGGAAACAGTGGTGAAATGTGCATGTATAGGCAACGATGTATAGTCAAGGATGATGCTCAACTGAGCGAGAACAGAATTATATTTGTGGTGACGTCAGACGAGGCACGAAATGACGCTGATGTTTGAGCTGCTTTTCTCTATCCTGGAGACCCGTGATGTAAGGAACAGTCGGTAGGCATATATTTAAATGGATCTGTCGATAAACGTGTGATGTACTTGGGCGCTGGCCGGCCGACGCATGGACTCCGCCACAGTATGGAGTCAGTGACCGCGGTGGCTAAAACGCACACAGGCGAGCTGGGGCTGCACGACCACGTCAGAACAAGCTAAAATTGATGCACGGGTAAAGTGATATCGGAGAAAAGAAAGAAAAGAGAGGGAAAAAAAATCTCTACAGACCAGCTGCGTAGAGAGGAGAAAGATCGGAAAGAAAGAAAGACTTTTTCTTAACAGGCGTCTTAAGCTAGACGAGGATAGATCTGGACTTTTGAAGGCCAAGCATCGCCCCAGCGCTAAACCCGACAGTGGGGGAGGACGGCCCATGGACGAAAATCCTGGTGCCTCTTGAGATCGACAGCAGCTCCGGATTTGACGATGGATTTGTTTCGCGCGTTATCGCTCGTGTCGAGACGGGCGAATTTCCGGGGTCGCCAAGGTCTCATTCGTAGCAACGGAGAGCGTGCGCGACCTGGACAAGCCATACAGGGACTCAGACAGAGGTTTCTCCACGGCATTAGATGGTCCACCAGGAGCCGGACAGTCAGCGGCGACAACTGACAGGTTGACACGGGATGGAGTGGCGTGCGATAGCGGGGAGACGGTCGACTGCGCAATCGGACCCTGACGACAAATTGGAAGACCTGACGGAGGATCTGGCATGACCGACAGCGCCGAAGGGACGGGACTCTCTGTGGTCTGTGTGTAGTGGAAGAGATGAAGCCTACAGTTGGTCCGGTGAGGCCGAACACCGTCGATCTCTGTCTGCGTTGATGGTTCTTAACACGAGCCGTATCGAGTTCTTCCGATTATACGGATTTTTACCTTACTCCCACTACTACTATACTACCTAACCTACATAGTACCGAGTCCGGTACCAAACTTGCTCCTGCTCTGGTACTTCGGAAGGTTCGCCCCGGCCCTTTCGTCCAACCTTCCCAACAACAGTCATTGAACCGTCACGGCCCACCGTCATCCTCATCACCGTGATGGGATGAGGGGAAAGTCACCCCAGACCACCACTCAGAACGATCAAGAGGCATCCAACATCACCCCGACGGAACGTGGGTCTCCCGACTGGACCAATATTGTATATGTACCACGACTCCGTCCCTACCAAATGGGCGATTTTCTGGATCCCTGGAGTGGAGGCGCTGAGCCGTGGGCCTCTGATCCGCCGCTAACAGAGCCCAATCCAGCCAGAGACAACCATGATTGATCCAGAGCCAGTTTGACGGCTAAGCGCGGGGCGTCCTGGGATCGTCTCCGCCCGGCTTAGCTCGACCAGCGACCCCCAGTCTGGACGCGCGGATTCGTGGGAAGATGCAGAGGCCCTGTGATACCAAGAACTCCAGTGGAGACGGCGGCAAACCCTGCGTTTTGAGTCGGGGGAGAGCTGGATGAGATTAAGGAGGAAGCCCCTGTTCTTCTGCCGCTGTCTGTTTTTGTCGAGGAGGAGATCCCACTAGTGGTTGAACCCAACCCTATCACACCAATCGATGCTGGACTACAATGACTGTTGGCTCGTAGGATGTGACCAACGCAAGTAGTTCCTCTTATCACTCGTGCAACAGACAGATACAGATACGGGCACTCCGCTGTCCTGACAGAGAGACCTGCAATCGCACCGCATCACTGCAGGCCACGCATGTCGATCAAATACGATCGGGGCATGGGCGGACGGGCTGCAGGAACCGGCGTGGTTTTCAGCTGACAAGGTCTTTCTGACTCACGCGATCGCCGGTCGATCATACGGAGAATTTATCCTGCAGATTTCTATAAAAAACCGTTCCGAATAAAATCCTGCATCTCGTGTAACGGTTCGGTCGTTTGCCTGGATATAGAAGCAAACCCGGCTGAGACAGCATTGTGCTCACGTACATAGATATCTAATTTCTGACTACAGTACAAATATAGATCGATCCCGCTCGGAGGCTTCCATAACCCATCCCAAAAACGCCACGTACCACCCCAGAATTGGTCCAGAAAAAGAAGATTCGAGAAAGGAAACAGCGTAAATGAATGGAGCTAGAGATCATATTGTGAACAAAAAAGGAAAAGAAAATGTAATGAAATGCAACACAACCAGATAGATTATGCGGCAGCCCCAAATCGCTTCTTCCGCGCCTCCATCGCCAGCCGGTCCTTTTCGCTCAGTCCGCTGCTAGTATCATTGCCGGCGCTACCGTTGCTCTTCGGCTGTCCCTGCCCTCTGCCGTTCTGGTTGCCTCCCCGGCCCCGACGCTGGAACCGGTTGCGACCACCAACGTCGCGTCTCTTTCCACCGCGTCCACCCTGGTCATTGTCACGCCCGCGCTTGCGAGGCTTCTCACTGGAGAGAGCCTCGTCGAGGCGCCCGATCCCCACCTCGGTCTTCTCGCCAGCGGCCGTGCCGAACCGCTTGGCCCGCTCCAGCTTCCTCTCCGCCTCCTCGATGGCCGCCTTGGACTCTTCCGTGATGCCGAATTTCTCCGCGCGCGCCTTGCGCTTCTTCAACTCCTCCTCCATCTCCGTGATGGGCAGGCCCATCGCGTAGTTCGGCGCTGGCTTCTCCTCCGCTGCCGCCGGGGCGGCCTCTCCAGCAGGCTCTTGCTTATCGGCAGCTTCTTGCGATTCCGCCTTGGGGGCCTCCGCGGCGGCGGCGGTGGTATCTGCCTGCGGCTTCTCGCCGGCCGCGACCGTGCCCGCCGCGGGTTCGGCAGCGGGCTTTGCGGCCGCATCAGCGGCCGCCACATCGTCGTCCTCCCAGTCGATCACGTCCTCCGTGTTGTTGTCGGTCTTGGTGGTGGCCGGCGCAGCGGCGGCCTCGGACTTGGCTTTGTTGGTGTCATCCTCCTGCAGACGGGCGACCATTTCCGCCTTCTTGCCGGTGTGCGGGAGGGAGCGAGATTTGAGGATCTCGACCAGCTCGGCATTGGTCTTTTTGCTGTAGTCGGTAGCCATTGTGAAGGCGCGGATGGTCCGTGGGTTCTTTGACGGGGGAGACGATGCGATGACGGAGGCTAGGGGCGGAGTGGCGGGTTCTGGTGTTCGGGGTTCGAGGATGGGGTCGCGTTGCTAGACTATCATGCGCGTAAAATATGGATATTGTAGGTCGCACACAGGATTGATGTCGTGGAGTTGTAGGTTGGCGGTGTTAATGAGGCTGAGAGGTTGGAGGTTGACGCGTTGGCGCGACGTAGACGCAGTGTGGTTTCCTCATCGGGAAAAATGGTCACGTGTGTCATGTGACTTCATTCATTAACGCATGAATAATGAATCTCTTTCGATGCACAACACAAAGAATCAATATCTTGGTTGTATTCACCGTATACAGAGGGACAACGGCGACCGTATACTGGTGTAAATGGCTCAGGTGGCAGTGTGCTGCTTGTTTCCTCCAGATTGGCAGGATATATTTCAGCCACACATCTTCTCTTGAGCATACGTCTGACAATAAAGACTTTTACAACACTCAAGAAAATTACTGCAAACTTACCTAGTAGCTCTTACTACGGACAACTTTATCTCAATCCATTGTGTATAGTTCTATCCGACTCTAACCGCCATTGAACGGACTTTGCCTTCTGCAGACCAAGTGGCTAGAGGCTAACCGCATCATCCAAGGCAAAATCACTGCCGCACCGCCCTGGCGATCTAATTAGAATCGATCGGAGCTTCCGAGCACTTGACAGCTGAAGACGGGAAGCTGTGGGGAGCTTGATGACATGGCAGGCCAGGTGTGGCTGTGGCGATTCGAAGGATTGACGCGATGCATGCACTGCGGCAAATTCAAGTCAGGTGATGACTTGTTTGGGATTTGTTGGGACACTGCTTTGATTCTCTATTTACATGCGATTTTAGATGGTGGAAAGTGTGTAGGAGGATGAAAAGAAGCTGGGTGAAATAAGGTACAATCCCTTGCCTTTCTACCTGTGGAATGTGGGACTATACTAGTAAGCACGGTTCGTTGTCACTTTGACAAGATGCAAGGGATATACATCTAAGCAACGTCTTGTTTCTGGTCAAGTGTTGACACCACCAACGTAATCCTAAAACTTCATTGAAGAATTGATTGAATTGTATTGAACCTTGCGACAATTGCTCAATTGCCATGAAACACTGTACGTGTGATCAAACCTGAGAGCCCTGCAGAACTCCCAAATCACCTGCGACAAAGCCACCCATGTAACAACAAAAAGAATCAAGCTATGGACAACAACGTGACTATAGCGCAAAGGAGCAGAGTAACCCATCCCGGTGCACCTCATCCATAAAACCAATACTCCGCCGCATATTCCACCTGGAATAGTTGCTCCTGTCCCTTGCAAGTAGACGGCGGCTGTCCCCCGGCCGTATGGACACGATATACCTCCTGTCGGTGATTCACGTTAGCCTTTCGAAACGACACCCGCACCTAACCCGAGAAATCATACCTTAACCCCCCTCCCATCAACAGCGGTAAGCTTCAGCCAAGAGACGTCCTCCTTCCGCGGAGCGGAAACACTATCACTCTTCTTCGCTGCGATCCAACTGTGCTTCCCACCAAGTCGAAAATCAAAGAACGGGACCCCAGCGCTGGTGAAGTAATGTTCCCCCAGAAAGAGACCGCTGCCCGACGTCGTGAACACGCGGTTCACAAGGAGAGCCATGAAATCAAGAGTAGCGGACGGCGTGTCGGCCACCACGGGTGGAAGACTGTGGAGGATCTCCGGCATCTTCGGCGCAAGGCATGATGCGTCGAAGAGTGTAGCAGAAGCACCCACGGCGGTAGGGGCGGCTTCTTCGTTGCCGGTTGTGCAGCTGTAGTTCTGTGTTCCGCGACCGACGACCACGTATGCGAGGTGAAGTCCGTTAGACGGGGGAGGAAGCTGGGGCCCGGCGTTGTAGATGGGCAAGGTAGCATTTGCCAGTGAGCAATTGGTCATCTGGAAAGCGTCGAGCCCTTTGGAGATGTCGAGAAAGGTTTTGATCAGCTGGTCGTTGCCCTTGATGATGGGGGCTGCGTGCGCAGAAATGATGGCAAAGAGGATCAACAGGAGGATATTGGAAGGCATTGTGATGAGGGTAGAGCTTGTAATGTGTGCGAAGTGTGCGTTTGATAAGGATCTTAGGTAAAGGGCAAGGAGAGAGTGTGTAGAGTGAAGATGATGAGGTGAAAGTGGGTGAGTGTTATGATCTTTATACCTGAACGTGTGTTGTGCGAAGCGAGATAGAATATTTAGTAAGGCTCACTTCTAGAAACAACTCACATTGAACTCCCTGGCTCAGCATCCCCATCCAACAGTATAACGCTTTGGGGTCCAACATCTTCATATCAGCCACAGTGAAATAGAATCCTTTTGTATGCCTCGGCGGGTCCTGCAGTCGACACTTGCGGCACAAAGAGTACTTTGATTATCCACTGATAGATCCACGCCTAGACTGCTGTAGGATGAGGTCACTTAAAGCACTGCCTCCTCTGTATAGGTATCTTCTCTTGGTTTGATCTTCGCAGCAAAGGCTGTTCAAACGGGCTGCCTCCATGTCGAGCGCGTGATATCAGGGCCACGGGTGAACTATAGATCAAACGGTTTCAACTAACTGTAAAGGGCTCGTGCAAGACGTTCCCCTCTTCACAATGTCCATTAACCTGCAGGATGTATATGAAGGGTCTTGTTGTAGATTCCTTCCAGCCAAAAATAGCCCAAATAGCCGCCTGGATCCCTCGTGTCGGTTTTCTATCGACAGGCGCTTTGAGCCAACACCAACACCAATTTCCTTTACCAACAAGACAAGAAATGCTGTCTATGCTTACAGCTTCAATATAGATACCCAACTTAGCCATCTGCGTCTTGCAGATGGTGAAAATGGTTATAAGCGAAGACAAGTCAGCAGTTGAGACACGTCGATGGCCGGTCCAACTACAACCAACAGGATATCGAGACTAAGCGCTGCCCCGGGTTTTGGACATCTCATGTCTCAGTGTGAGAAAATCTGAATCACTAGGTACAGTACTGAAGATATGACCAGGGTTATGCGAGATTTGATACTATCATCTTGTTCTAGTCTGTCGGTATTCGAGACCCCATAGATATTCGTAGGTAGATATGAGACCAATGTATGTATGCAACTACTACCTTATCTTATGACTGAATGGTATATCCTTAGGTAGTAACTTCCTTTATACAATTAGGTAAGTGAATGCGGTGTTCCCGTGGATTCCACCTTCCTACTCTCCGGCGACGACTACTACCTATACTTCTTATCACGACCTACCACTTCTCACCACTACTCACCACTCACCACTATTTACCACTCACTCTTTGCAACTCTTCACTACTACTTACCACTCGTTACCATGCTGCCACCTTTCCTTGAATCCATTCCTAGGCATTCCTATCACTCTACAACGGAAAGCGTTGAATCGGTATGTACAACTTTCCAAGGGACTGGATACGCCCTAGAGTCATAATTATAGTCGAGACTCATTGCTAACCTTTGATTCTGTGTAGGCTTCGATAAGGCCACCCATCATGGCCTTCTCAGCGTTGACCAGCAACGCCCTGGCGGTTCGTGTTCCCCCTGGACTGGAGAACATCCAACGGGTGACCGGCTTCGATTTCATGAGCCTGGCGAACCTGGCTTTCATCTTCGCGGGCAGCTGGACGTTCCTGCGTTATCTGTCAACTTCCACCTTCAACCACTTTCTCCAATACTTCTCCACGAGCGTCCGGGTCGACGGCGACGACCCCCTCTATCACCACCTTCTGCGATGGACGATGGACCACCACCCGCCCAATCCCCGATTCTGTTCCCTCCGCGCCGTCAGCAAGACCAACGACTCTTGGGCCCACGAGGAAGAGAACCCTTTGTCCGACAACGAAGATGGCCTGTCCGCGATGTCAAGCCTCCCGTCCCTGTCTGGGCCCAGTCATTTCGTCAACTATCGATCCATCGTCGATCAGCCGCCCATCCACCTGGAGCCTCTCCAAGGCATGCACCTCTTTCGCCATCAGGGTAAATTTATCCTCTTTCGCCATCGCATCATGCGCGAAAATCAATTCCTGATGAGGGAGCGCGGCTACATACACCTTCAATGTCTTGGCGCATCCCCGGATGTCTTGCAGGCCCTGCTCCAGAAGGCACAGTCGTACAACCTGGAAAAGTCCCGGTCCGCGAGGATGACCGATGTTTACCGACTCTCTTGCGACGGCCCTGAACCCATGTGCAGCAGATGGTCAAGGGTTAGCACCAGCCCGTCCCGCCACATATCCACCGTAATCCTTGATAGAAAGAAGAAGGACGAGTTGCTCCGCGACATCAATGAGTATCTGCACCCACGCACACGCCAGTGGTACTCAGACCACGGCATCCCTTACCGACGAGGATACCTGTTTTCGGGGCCCCCGGGAATGGGGAAGACCAGTCTCGCATCGGCCCTCGCTGGCTTTTTTGGGCTGAATATCTACGTGTTGAGCCTGCTCAACTCGCGTATCACGGACGCGCACCTCATGCAGGGGATGTCCAAACTCCCATCGCACTGTATCGTCCTGCTGGAAGATGTGGACGCCGCCGGACTGGGCCGGCGCAATCTGGAGGATTCTTCTTCTCCCGCAGAGCCCTCTCCCAGGACGCCGTCTCCCATGGCGCCGCTTCCCACAGCGCCGCATTCTACAGGGTCGGTCGGCCTCAGGTCGATCTCGGCGGTGCCGATGTTGGGAACCCGGAATTCGCCCAAGAACGCCCAGGAGCCCGCCGACTCTATCTCCTTGTCTGGTCTCCTTAATGCCATCGACGGAGTCTCTTCACCAGAAGGAAGAATTCTAATCATGACCACCAACTCCCCGGAAACCCTGGACCCCGCGCTGATTCGACCAGGCCGTGTCGACATGCACGTTGACTTTGAACTCCCCTCACGGGATCAAATGCACGCCTTGTTCGTCAGTATGTATAGCGACGTGGCAACGGACGGATCTGAGCCGGACGAGGCAGGGACAAGTCTCGATGCGATGGCGGAACAATTCTCTTCCTCTATCCCCGAAAGGTCGATAAGTCTGGCGGAGCTGCAGGGTTACCTGCTGCGGTACAAGCACTGCCCCGAAGATGCGTGTGAGGACGTGGCGGCGTGGGTGGAAAAGAACTATGTACCCTTATCTTAGAGGGAGTGGTAGGATGGTCCTGACGCAGTATGTTTGCCAGCGCCGTAGATGGCTGAAGGGAAGTGCCAGCGGCGTTCAAAGAGAGGATACATCACAAGTACGTAGACACTAGGCAGGTATTGACATTGTGTGTATGATATAGTAGCTTTGCAGCGCCGCCATTACACATCCGCAGGCTGCCGCCCAACTGCCCATCACTCATCACTTATTTGCTCGCGATCTACACCCATTAGGACGTCCACATCAACATGGCTAAGGTAAGATAAAAGGCAGACGCACACCCACCAGGCTAGGGACTAATAACGCCGGTCTGATCCAGCACATTTGTACGTTCTTTTCCAGCTGGGTAATCGACCGAGCCTGGCAACCCGATTGACCTTCATGTAAAACATCGGTGCTAGAACCAAGCAGCCTGCCCTATTTAGGTGGCGTTTGAGCCACGTGAGGCCGAACCGAAGAGGTATGGCCCCGTCATACATTTATATCTGGGGATGAGGCGAGCGCCAGACCGTTCCCGCATCCTTTACTGACGTTCCTGGAGGATGAGTGGGGGAAAACAGAACCCTTGTGAGATCGCCTACTCGACTGGTGGAAGATTGGCAGCCACGTGAACAGCTCTATCTTTCACCAGACGGTTGATTGTTGGTATCAATCGGAGTGTCTTGCTCAAGGAGAATCTTAACATTCCGTGTGATATAGAAAGATCACCAGGATAGCCATCCATTCATCATCACAGCTTGGCCATCAAATCCCATGACCATAGCTGACACAACGGCCCATCCGCCCCGTAGACCGGGTCTTCCTCTGGTAAGGGAACCTGCGCAATTTCCCGTCGCAGCGCCTTCAAATCGATGGGAGAGTTCCCCATTTCGTTTCGCCAGCGGGGACACGCCTATCAGCCAGTGTCAGTTGACAATCATCTAAGAAGTGACAGCACCTACGCGCGGATATACCCCCACATATCTATAGTCGGCATTACTATCCACGGAACTATGCGCCGTTCCAGCGGGCAGCACAAGGACGTCTCCAGGGTGGACAGTAAGTTTGAGGCCAGCTGTGTCTCCATCGCCGCCGGCCTCCCCCAGAAGCAAGGTTGAGGAGCCCTGGAATACGCCTGGCGTTGTTAATCGGGACGATTGTATAGTGTGGGTAGAGCTCACCGTAGCATTCGTGTGTGTTGGGGTGGAAATGGCGGATGTCGATGGCGCCCCAGACGCCCTGGCATGGTTAGTCGGTGTCGAGTGGTGGGCTTGCTGACGCACCCTCTTCTCCCAGGTGTGTGCCGTGAGGAATTCGGTAGCTGTCTCTTCTGTTCGGGGATGGGGGAGGACGTCCCGGTATTGGAGGATGGGGAGGGTGCTGCCTGGAGAGTGTAGGGTAGGGGGGAGATAGAAGGTGTTTGGTGGGTTCATGTTAATGGAGGGTGTGGAGGATGAATGTACTGTAAGTTGAGCTCGGCTCTTAGGAGTCTCAACTTGTATCAGCTTGTCTTTATAATACTTACCCCGCAGGACTATGGCTCAGTGCACCCTGGAGATGGAGTAACTGACCGTCATCATTAGGACAGACGCTGTTACTCCAGACACTGAGATGATATCACTGCTTGCCTTGTAAACTATTTCAAAACAATGAGGTCTATATCGGTCTACCTATCCCGTTGCAGACAGCATCTATCCGGATACCGGCCGTGTCGGGCTTGTCTCCAGCCCTGCCAGATGGATCTATACAAACATTGCATGAACACATAATCAGACGACAAGAGACATATCTACGAACTGCTTATCTGAGTCTGTACTTCCAGGTATCCGCACCTGGCACCACGAGCAGTCCGTCACGTGATATACTTGATATCCATCGAGATAAACACATACGGAGTACCTAACATCTTATGTCCAGCACGTGACATTCACTAGGTACAGTTACCACATCCAATAATATGTGTCAAGCTGTATTAGACAATATGGTATAATAGTAGCGACCGTAGGTGACACAGAGTGTCGATGCAAAAACCAGCAACGAAGCCATAACTAACAAGAACCACCAGCTTCCATCCCATGCTCCGTCCAGTAACGGGTATATCCAGCACTCGACTATCAAGTGCTACTCCAGTCAGTTTTTGCCCGATATAAATCTGGTTAATCCAGGGTACTTTTCTTATCGACTTCGACCGATCATCGTCCATGGTGGTGGCCGAGTCACGAAAGAAATGGTCCAGATATCAGCAAGAAAACAGAAACAAAGAAAAGGTAAACGATCGCCTGCTGCGATTATATCCGGACTGAGAACAGAGTCGCCACGGAAACGCAGAAATCGAAGAGAAAACACAACACAGTTGGTATCTGAAGGAACTCATGCCACGAAAAAAAAGGGGTAATCAGAAAACTCAACCCAGAAAACCAACACCCTAGTCTAACGAGAGATAAGAAATAAATCACCATCCTGAAAACAACCGGTACCTCTATGGTCATAACATGGGAATAAGAGTAAAACGAGGAAAAAAAGAAATCATTCTGGATCCCCTGGCCCTTGTACCGTATCCTGTAATTCCGTGAAATGAGAAAGGAAGAGAAGAAATGGGTATCAATTCCCTGCCATTGCAGAGACGGAAAAGAAATGAAGTCGCGCGAAATGAAGCTGTTGTACAATGGTCGAAATCGAATCAGGAATCAGGGAGCCAGAGGGGTCGCACACTGCCACACGCATGGGTTCGACCATGAAACCCAGGGCGGTCTGCAAAGCGCAAGGGGGATACGTGGATGCGCAGAGTGCAGGCAAGGACGTAAGAGATTTACTCCTCGTCTTCACCAGACGCGCCCTCTTTCTCGCCCTTGTGGACCTTCTTGTGGCGCCGCAAGTTCGAGACGACGGAGAAGTGACGACCGCAGCCCTCGACATCACATGCAAATGCTGCAGTTACAGTTAGTACCGCGGTAATGGAGACAGAAGGATTTGAGACATACGCTTTTCGCCAGTGTGACTGTACATGTGGGTTTGCAGAGATGAGGGCCGCGTAAAGCGCTTGTCGCACACCTTGCACTTGTGCTTCTTCTGAGTGTTGGAGGGCATCTTCGAGCTGAATTGGCTCATCATGGACTGGGGGCCCGGCGGAGCACTGCCCGTCAGGAGGTTAGAGGGCCGCGGGAGAGTTCGCGACAGGTGTCCATTCTCATATGATTCGGAAGTCGTGGAGCTGTAGTCAGTCACGGACGATTCCACAGATGCAACCGAGGCGCTGTAGTAGGGGTAGTTTCCAGCAGCCGAGGAAATCGAGGATCCCGAGGACTGTGTGGAAGGGAACCCATAGGAGTCGGCTGAGCCCCGCGTGTTGCGAGGGGGGTAAATGTTGCGCGGAGTCAAATCCTGGCTGAGCGCGACCATTCCCCGGCTCGCGTCAAGGGCATCCCCGAACGTCGGGGCGGGGGGTGCTTGCGACTGACCCACGCGAGCGTCACTGAACGCATTTCATGTTAGCAAACACATTTCATACGACGCGTCCTGGGATCGCAGTCGCGCAAGGGCGGTGATTCTTACGCATGGGAGATTCGGCGGCTGTCCTGGTGGTGAAGAGATGGGGTGTAGCTCAAGGGCGCATAGCTCGCGGGTGCGAAGGTGCTCATAGACGAAGCCGTCGTGTAAGCGGGACCCTGTTCGAAAGACGAACGGGGGATGCCATGGGGCATCTCCATGACTTCTGGGGCGGGATAGCTCGTCGCCGCAGTGGCCGAGTAGTTGCTGCTGCCCGTGACCATGGAGGGCGCCGACACGGGAATGCTTGAGTAGGGCATGGACATGGGCGCGGGTCGGTTCACCTCCTCCTGCTTCGGATGGCTGAGACCGATCTGGCTGGCACCCATTGAAGTCGCGTACACCGGGGGAGTCGAGTGGGAGGTCGTGTGTGCGGCCGACCACGGGTCGGTGAACTGAGGGGTGTTGTGATGCGGCATATTATGTTGATAAACACTGACGAACCCCATCCCGCCGTACTGGGCGGTTCTGGGTTTCAAGGACCGTCAATCATGGAGGATATAGAGTATTGGAATCACCAACGGTGCTCGGGAAGTTGATAAGAGACCTCTGGAGTGTAGGTTGTCGCGTCAAGATTGAATCTCACCGCGACAGAACAAAGCAACGTGGTTGACAAGGAGGTCGATCAAGGAGAAGAGGCGGTGGGGAGAGGGAGAATCGATCAAGTCGATCCGCGCAGAGTCAGGAAGAGCGAAGGAGAGAGACAAAAGGGCAGTGAAGGAGCAAAATAACAATAGTGAAGATCGCAAGGAGGATTGCAACAATGGAGGGAAGATCGGAAGGATAAGGTAGAGAGAAGGCCCTGATCAGATCCAGGAGAAAAAGAAAGACAAGCAGACAGTGAGACAGTCAGTAGTCAGTCTGGGGAAGACCCGAAGGGGATCGGCGAAGCTTATGAACAAATACAGGAGGATCGCAGTGTGAAGGGACGAAGGGAAGCCCTGGCGTTGCCGTGTTGGTGATGGAGGTCTAGTGCCACTGACGACGTCCCGTCGGGGACGGTTGCAGATCGTTACTTTGGGCCGCTTAGGCTTCGAAACGGCGCCAGTTTAAAAAATAAAATATAATAATCAGAATAATAATAATAATAATAATAATATTTAGAAAAATAATTAAAAGTATATTTGGGAAATGATTAAAGGGAATTGCTTAGTGCCTGTGGAAATCTCCAAATGGGAACCAGTTCCTCGGGTGACCCTCAAGGTTTGGATGGGTCTTTTTGGGGGGCTTTCCCTGGTTTGGCCGGTGGGTTCTGTTTTTTTTTTTTTTTCTTTTCTTTTCTTTTCATATTTTTTTCTCATTTATTTTTCCCTCCAAAATAATAATTATTATAATAAAGAAAAAGAAAAGAAAATAAAATAAAATAATCGTCGTCACCCTTTTAACTCTCCCAATTGATTTCCAGTCCCTCTGGGGCCATTTCTCTGTTGAATTTATTATCCAGATTAATTTGATTGCTTAATTTCTATTTTTATTCATCTTCAGTCATACTCGTCTCGCCATCTACAGTACTTGTACATAAGTATAAAAGATGAAGGATACGGTGGTAGTTGGACACGGAGTAGAAGTCGGCAATTGTCAGCACAAATAAGCAGCATCACCCTTATACGCCTGGCCATTTAGATCGTAAGTCAAGGATCAGGGAAAATAGGAAAAAAGCCACCGGCAACAAAAAAGACAGGGGGAAGTCGCAGGGAGAGACCCTCTGAAACTCCGGGATCGGAACAGAGTATGCATGGATCAATGCTGGGATGTAACTCGGATACCGGGTGACAGTCGACATGCAGTGCATGAGGTGGCTGCTCCAGGTACGCTGGTCGTAAATAACGGTAATACCAGGAACCTGTCTCCCCATCCTTTGCTGACGAGAGATACCCTCGTACCCCCCCGTACATCCAACTCAAACAGGAAAAAGAAGAAAAAACCAGTCCCTCAATAGTACAAAAGCATAGAGTGGAAGAGAATGGTTCTCCATTCTCCCCGAAGTGGCATTCGTTGCGGGAAGCGTGCGTGGCGGTGGCTCCCAGCTGCTGAACCGAGTTGCCAGAGCACACCTCCCGCGAGAAAGAATGGGTTGGTTGGGTGGGTGGAAAGGGAGGGGGTGGTGGTAGGATGCGGCGGGGGGAGGAGGGCGCTCTGTGCCGTGTCTACGGCCAGTAGTGTTGTTTGGAGCAAGCACCCAGCACCAAAGGAGCAAAGCGCGGACAGGACAGCTCGCAGGCGGCGAAAATCAAGTTCATCCACCACCATACAATCCAGTGTACGGAGCACGGTTGGAAAGACGCCAAGCAACCAGCCAGACAGCACCCTTTTGAAGCAATGGCTATGGTTCGCCTCTGGAAAAAGGTGAGGGTGTTTCAAGGTAGCGGGGAAAGTGGCAGATCACAAAGATACGTCAAAGGGTATACCCGTTCCGTGGGGGATGTCTGGATTGAAGGCGGCCGGTGGAGTCGATCCACTGGCACGGTGTGTGTGTCCCTTTTCTGTGCATTTTCCTTTTCCCTTCTTTTTCCCTTTTCTGTCTAGGATCCATGGGTGGGACAGCCACCAGATACTTCCATGTGCTGTGTTCCGTCCATCTCGCTGGTTCTTCCACGGTTCCTACATAGGATGTATAACTACTGAGTAGTAGAAAAGAAAACAGAAGCATCGTTACTAGTCGGTAATATTTGGAGCATTCCTCCTGCATCAAACTGGCCTCGAGGGTCAGCCCGAAAGCTCTCTCCCCTCATTGGCCCGTGGTGCGATGGGTGGATGACTTGTCCTCTGAAATCCTTGCAACCCTCCCGCCTTAGGGAGTGTTTATTACCGCCACGGCCCTACACTAATCCAGTACTGGTCCTGGTGCATGTTTGTATAACTCCTCGAGACGAGGCAGTAACAGCCCGACATTTCCTGATCTTCTGATGGCAGGGGTTTGACACAGTCACGGCTAAAAGCAATGAATCTAGGAGAGAGTGGTATGCCCTCTCTGCAAGCCGTATTTTATGTATGCAGCACATTGAATGGCTGAACAGCATTCCTTCATATCTGATATTGGTGGCTGCATACATGCATCCATACATTATTACGGAGTACATAGCTACGGAATCCAACAGGTATGAAAGGCACGAGAGGCACGCGTACCATCATTCCGGTCTGCGCAGCACGAGGCTAATTACCAACCACAACTGCATCTGTCTGCAGAGGCTGGCACCAACACACTGGGGATGTGTAGGTCATGAATCTCAAACAACATACGTAGTCCCTTGGATGGGGGGATGGGGCCGTCTGGAGACAAGAAGAATGAAAAGCTGCGCGATGACGACATTTCAATCAAAACAATCGGGGCTTCCCCAAAGAACAGCAGCAGTCACCTCTGCACGGATCACGCCCTCGCGTGCTTTAATATACGAGTCCTTGCGAGGTGCCGTCATCATACATCTCCCGGAATACCTAGGTAGATGATACTCCGTAGTGTTCAGTTTCTTCACCACCATCACATCTCAACCTTCCTACGAAGTACGCTAAAGACAACCGTTGACCAACGCGCCCCGCCTGCCTCCGCGACTTCCGAGATCTTTTCATCGAGAGGGGCCTGCGGACATCCTCCGACCTCCCTCCCTCCATCCATCATGTTACATGTAGAGTTTTACATGGTTTTCTACCTCCAGCTAGTAACTAACATTACCCGCCGGGTTTCTTCCATGTTTTTGACTTCTCAGCGACATTCCCAAACCGGGCAAAGCACGGTGCGAACAGATAACTAGTAACTAGTTATCCGGGGACAGACGCTAGGATGCTCTTCCCACCCGTGGGAACAAACACTCGACCTATCCGACCGGTTGATATCGCCTCGAACCATCATCGATTCAGATCGCAGCCACGTTGCAGGGATGCACTGGTGGCTGCCGCGGTTCCTCGGTTCCGTTTGGCGGGTGACCTCCCAGGCTTATCGCGCAAGACCCTTTCCAGTGATGGATTGGTTTTTTTTGCGGTTCATGGCGACGATGGGGTGGGGAGAGAGGAAATTACCCGTGCCTCCACATCCATCCACATCCAGTAGAACTCTGTAAGAATCAGTCGCCCATCAGGAGCATACAAATACCTACTTCTTTACGATGTCTTGATTATACATCCTCTCGATATACCGCAAACTATTACAAATAATAAAGCGACTCCAGCGAAATACAACATAGTCCGGCAGTAACAAACAACCTCCAGTGGATCGGTCGCACCATGACGGCCGTCCACTTCTGCAACCGTTCGGCTGGGGCGCTTCCCACTGTGGCTGCTGGAGTCTGAAGCCACTGCTCCCCTATGATAGGGTACACCTCGTCACCTAGCTTAACCTAAATCTGATGGTTTGGCGGTTGAACCCGACACGCGCAGACTCACTTAAATAGTGCATGTGGTGGCCCGCGTCTGCTGATGCCCCTGTCGCTCACCTCCAGTCTCCTCCGTCGTAGGTACTTTCTGCGATTCTGTTATAGGCTGGGAACAGGCGGGACGAAGTACATCTGCTCGATCTGGTTGGTCAGGCGCGAGTTCTCCCGGAGTACACCCGACCTCAGCTGGTGTCGAGAGAGTTTATTTGCTGTCTCTGCATCCGATCATCGGAGGCCTACGGCGTACTCTGGGTCCCGGGAAGAACAATGGGCCATCTCGCGTGGCAGATGATCAAGATAGGGGAAGGAGGCGAACCAGAGCAGGAATAAAGCAGCAAGAAAATATCTATAATAAACCAGATATACTCCATAATACTGTAGGCGTGGAAAGAGCTAAATTGCAGCGACATGCCTAACGGAGCAAGTTGTGGGGTGGTTGGAAGCCAATGAACTCCGCGCCCAGGACTCCATTTGTAGGGAACGTGGAGCTTCAAAGCATGATAGAGTCTGCCCCCCGAGTGTGAAGATGGATGGACCATATGTCGTTGGCGACTGGTTGCGAATCTGAGTGAGGAAGCTCGGGCTCTGCCATGGATCGATCGACTTCTCCGAGTATGGTCTCAGTTCTGTCCGCTAGCGTAGAGTCAAGCTCAAGGAGTGTCAGACATCGATTCTGCAGGGCTATCCACACTGCTCAGAAGGACCACATAGTCAAAGCAAGACCATGCATCGACTGTCTGATATACTGATGGCAGAGTCGCGATGGGGGGAATTGCGGTTCCTGCAGTCTGTAATGGTCCCCTGCACATGAGATTGGAACAGTCCTCCGGCAGGAAGATTCTTTGCCCTAAGTCTCTCGCAGACCATATACAATTCTAATTTACAAGATTGAACCAATCGGCATTGTCCGGTTTCTTCAGCTGAGTCGCCTCCAAGGGCAGGTAAGGCCGGGGATCGTCCCCGCTACATCGTGGTAAAGCGACCTCCCGTGCAACTATAGCAGGCAAGCTTCGGGAAAGATTCCATGGGCTGACGAGTTTGGCAGGTTTAGC